GGCACAATAGCTAGTCCATTAGCTCCTATTAGTCTGCACCTGCCTGCCACAGCAGGGCCAAAATAAGCAACCAGCAGCATTTCCTGTCTGAGCTCATAGCACCAGAGCCTGGCGCGCTGTGAAATCACTCGGGGAGCAGTCGAGTCTTACACGAAACGGTAGCTCAGGGCCTGTGGGACGGACTCTCAGGAGAAGTGATTATGTGTGTGTCTGTGAGAGAGAGAAAGGAAGAGCATGGGGTAAAGGAAGCTGATTTCGTGCGGTCTGCGTGTGTGTGTGTGTGTGTGTGTGTGTGTGTGTGTGTGTGTGTGTGTGTGTGTGTGTGTGTGTGTGTGTGTGTGTAAATAATTTTTTTTATTCAAAAATTGCAAAATGCTTACATATACACTACTGTCCAAAAGTGTGTGGGTTTGAAAGATATTAATATCTTTATTTAGCAAGGACACATTAAATTGATGAAAAGTCATGTATACTGTTACAAAAGATTTCTGTTTCAAATAAATACTGTTCTGTTGAACTTTCTGTTCATCAAAGAATCCTGAAAAATATTAAGCAACACAACGGTTTTCAACGTTGCTAATAATAAGAAATGTTTCTTAAGCAGCCAATTAGTATATTAGACTGTTTTTTTAAGGATCATGTGACACTGAAGACTGAAGTAATGATGCTGAAAATTTTAAAATGTATTAAAATAGAAGACAGTTATTTTTTATTGTAATAATATTTCACAATATTACTGTTTTTACTATTTTTGATCAAATAAATGCAGCCTTAGTGAGTGTAAGAGACTTCAAAAAAATTGAAAAATCATACCGACCCCAAACATTTGAACAGAAGTGTGTAAATAATTGTATTTTTTTCTTATATAACAAAGATTATATTGAAAGCTAACAGACATCTAAGATGCGTTTTCATTTAGTCAACCAAATGCACACACTTTATATTAAACACACATACACTACTTTTAAATTAGATGTAATAACTGCTGTTTTCTGATTAATGCTAAAATGCCCTTCTCACACAAACACAGAGTGTTAACCTGTTCGTTTCAGTCAAATATATTCCAGCAGCTGCTGTGTTGCCCATGGCAGCAGGTTTTAAATCACATCTCACATATTACCCTGCACAACTCTAGCAAAACACAAAAAAAATCTTTCATCTTTTCTGCATGATCAAAGGAAACTGTCCTCAATACATGCAAGTGTGTGTGTGCTGAATATAAAACAGTGCTTGAATCTACAGTGATTATGAAAATGCATGAAGCTGATTATAGAGTGAATGTATGATTACAGGCTTCGGAGGACGGTAGCGTTGTGGTCATGAAGGTCAGGACATTGGTTCACATCCGGGATGGTTGACCACTGCTGAAATCTAGTAATCTAGTTTTGCCTTTTGCCTTTAGCCAATCAGTGCTGTCATGACGTCATCCCGTTGCTCCAGAGTGATAAGTCACATGATATGTACGGCTCAAAACCAGCAGATATCCAGTCACATACTTCAGCCAAGCAACTGCCATTGAAATGAATGGAAATGCATAGCAGATAGCAGATACATACTCTGCATTATGAATTTCAGAGCATGGTGGCACATGAAATGAGGCTTGCGTAGCCAAACCGTGTCAACGGGGTTTGTGAGTCTTCATAAAAGTCTCACCTGATCTGTGGTCCTCAAGAGGTTTCTATATCAGCCTTGTAAAACCTCAGCGCTCACACTGGCTCTATTCTCCACACACCTCCTGGGACATATGGGAACACACAGCAGCCATTTATGATATTTATTTATAACCCCTTCCCCCATGCACATTAGTGTCTTTCACTGGCCCAGCATATGTTACACAAACGCACATAAACATCTCACACACTTCCTCTCTTTCACAGGATATAGAATAGACACGCGCACACACAGCGGCATTTATTCACTGAAGGAGCCGTCGTCTGATGTCAGCACTGTGGTGCCTCTGGATTTGAGTGGTATAGAGGGGGGAGAAAGAGGTACAGAAATGACTGAAAGATAAGATGAAAGGTAGAAAAAGGGGATGGAGAGACAGATGTGACGGCGTCAAGAGTGAAACACACAAGAACTGATATGAGAAGTGATCAAAGAGATATTAACACTTCACGGGGCCTTCAGACAGCCTCAGATGGAGTTATGTTTTTGGACTTTGCACTTAACAGAGCGTGTGTATGCGTTCACATGTAGTGTGCGATCTATAATTCATACACCCGATTCTGTATTCCACTCAAGCTTAGTCTTGTCTGCAAGTCGTTTGCCAGCACACTCCTGACCTTATACACACACACACACACTAGCACAACACCTTTCGAATATATTAATCCTTTGTAAGTCTGTCACCGCTCTACCCGGAGATGAATGTCACTTTGAAAAGAGAGAATGAAAGAGTGATAGAGATGCTACAGAAAGACAACCAGGTTTTATGGAGGTGATGGAAAAAAAAGAGAGGGAAAATGAAGGAAAGTCTGTTGGAATATTTATTCCAGCATGTTGCATTTCTGTCTCAGTGGGGTCTCCATGCCGCTCACCGGAGAGGTTAATAAACATATTTGTTTATTTTCTCCTGGTGTGCGTTTCTATGATTTTTAGATCCGTCTCTGAGTAAAAATGTAAGTGATTTATTATTATTATTATTATTATTCATGTCTGTCAGACTCTACTAGATGCAAATGACAATAGTAACTATGTTAATTCAGGGTTCCATTGCCGTGCTGATAGATTATGGCACTAGCAACGCTGAGGTCATGGGTTTGACTCCCAGGGAATTTACAGAAACATAATTTGTGCATTTACCCAAATACAGATGCAAATGCTTGACCAATACAGTAGCACTTTAGATAAGGGATCACATATTCACTATTAACTAAGAGTTTTCCCTCAATGAACTCCCAATTAGCTGCTTATTGATTGTAAAAAGATGTTATAGTAGATTTAGGTATTAGGTAGAGTTAAGAAATCTAGAATATGGTCATACAGAATAAGGGATTAATATGTTCTTTATTAGTACTTATTAACAGAAAATATGCTAGTAATATGCATGCTAATAAGCAACTAGTTAATTGTGAATAGTGTTCACTAATGTTCACTATTGAACATACTTCAAGTTGACATGAAATGGAAATTCACCCTATTTTCTAAATTAATCTTATTGATTTTATTGTGAACAATTCGTCAATTCATATGTTTCGTTTTTAACATTTAGTTTGACCCTTTTTAATCAAAATGTTGATCTTCAGATGAAACGACAGACTTCTCTCTGGTGACGTATGCTGGACTTCTCTGATCACTTTTTTTCCTTTTTTGATAATCCGTTTCACTCTGATGTCACAATACTGAAGAAAACATGAACTTCCATCTTATCGCAACTTTAACATGCATTCTTAATGCAAACAAATCTCAAGAGTGCATATGAGTTACCATCAAACACCTGTAAATTGAATTAGCTATACCTGAAATGTAAAGTTGCTAAAATTGGCTTCAAACTGTTGCAATGCCCTGACAGTAGTAAAATGAAAACATAAAACTTTTCTTCCATTCTGAATTGTGCTCGGACAAATTTTGGAATGCAGTGACACAACACATTTAACATAGCCTGACTATATAGCTCAATAAGTACCTTCAAGTCACTTTGGATGAAATATCTGCATAAATCTAATTTCATTATCAATACTTTCATTCACTGCAGATTGAATTTACTCCATTAATACATCTCTCTCTCTGTTTTCTCTCTGTTAGATTGGGTGTCGAGTGAGGTGGAAGTGTTTCTGGAGGACTACGTGGCAGGAGTCGGGGACACCGTGGATCTGTCTTGCACACCGCGCGACTTCCTGGTCCCCATCGTGTGGCAGAAAGATGGCGATGCCGTGTCTCCTAGCAACCGTACACGGGTGGGGCAAAAAGTGCTCCATATCATCAACGTCTCCTATGAAGACTCGGGGGTGTATTCCTGTAGACACACCCACAGCAGCACGCTGCTAAGCAACTATACCGTCAGAGTCACTGGTCAGTCTCTCCGAATAATATTTAAGTAGTGTTGTCATTATTTTAGTACAGCAGACTGGGGTGCACAAGCTCAGGCATGCAAATCATTTAATTGGAAACTCACCAGTCAGACTCATCCCAACAGGCAAACAGGTCTTGAGACATACTCCCAGCACACACCTACAGGATGACTTGACGTTTATCATACAATCATAATAACACACACTCAAAGGCAGAATGTTAAATAGTCTACATGTTGTTTAATATTCCACATGGACTGAACAGGATTGTTTTAGACTGTGACAAGGGCTTTATCTGAATAAAAATGAGGGAATTACATAGGGCCTCCTTGGGAAGGTATAGTGGAAAATGGCATATTTCAGTCCCTACAGATTAAAATCATTGTGAAATATTCTTAAATAGACACTAGAGTTGTTGTTTGTCTGTGCGTCACATGTGGCCCATTGAGCCGGCCAGTCAGGTATTGTTATCTTTTACTATACAAACAAGTGTCACTGACTATGTTTAGAATGGAATCTGAACACTGCTTACTATGTAGTATACACTATAATGTCTATTTTATTATCATTTAAAAATAATGATACAGTATGCATTATACAATGCTACACATTTCAAATGGCAGCATGCTACATTACTGACACATGATCTGAATTCAGCGAGTGCTGTTTGCTTATAGGTCTAATGATAGAACTAAAAAAAAATTATTAACATTTTATAATAGGAACATTTGTTTATTCAAATTAAATTAACAATTAAAAAAATAAAAAAGTTAATATTTTAAATAATGTACAAATATTTGAATATTTGAAAACTGCCTTTGATATTACATTGAGTTCAGTTTGGCTAATGTAATGTCGATGCATACTGAAAATTTGCCTGATTTGCACAGTATACATATTAAATACTAGTAAGAGAAGAATGATATTATGCCATTCTGAACAAAAAATATCATTAAACTCTTAAGACAAACAGACATTACATAATAGAACGATTTGTTTTTGTGTGTGTGTGTGTGTGTGTGTGTGTGTGTGTGTGTGTGTGTGTTTAAACGGTAGTGTGGAGTGATCTTTGGTTCTGTAAACACGTGGACACAAGCTGAGCTGCTCATTGACAACTAATAAGAATGTAATTATATGGAATCACCTCATCATTTAAAGCAGATGGAAAAAGTAAGTGCATGGGGAGAGTTTTTTTTTTTTTACCGACATGTGTTTGGCGTTAGGCCAGGGCAAATCGGCTCTCCTTCTCGCCAGCGTCTGGAGAAAGACAGAAAAAAAAGTGAAACGGGCACAGAACCTGCACCAATTATCGCATGCCGATAAAGAGTCCACAAGACAGCAATATCCTGTTCTGCACACTTTTACACAAGACATAGCTACCAGACACATTGAGAGACAACAATACACAACAGAGCTTTACCAAGATAGTTCATACAAAAAAAACATCATTAATCACCCATATTCATTCCAAACCTGAGTTTCTTTTGTCTGTGGAACATAAAAGAAGATGTTTCACAGAATGTTCAAGCTGCTGTTTTTCCATATAATGAAAGTGAATAGGTACTAGCTTGTGTGCTATGTTCCGAGTCTTCTAAAGCTTCGTGTTAGGAGCATACAGAAAATGAAAATGTTCTTTGCTTTTCATGGTCTTGCGTATTTTCTGATAATGTACCGCTAAATGCTCCACAATAGGTTTGACATCAATGACATCATTTGTTTGCATGGGTTTTGTCATTGACGTCTTTACAGTTTTTAACTTTTGGGTGTACTAATCCTGTAACACCACAGAACAACAACAAACCATTAGAACTTAAAACATTTTACAAGACAAACCTTCAGTAGCCGCTGAAGACTGTTAAGCCACAAAACATGAAAATATAGCATAAATCTGATGGTTTGGTGCAGCTAACACTGTGAAAGCCCCACACAGAAAGCTTCAGTGTCCCAGTAACAGCATATCTTTAGCACTAAATAGGCCTAGTGTTGGATTTCATGCTCCGCTGGTATTTTAGGAGTGTGTGCTGTACAGTTTTACCTGTGTAAATCTTCACAGAGGAGGAGCTGAAGACAGAATAATCTCTTTTTTAGGGTCATAGCGTTTTTTTCTCACTCTGAATGAGTTCATTTAGAAGCAGGATACAAGAATGTGTGTTTGTGCGTGTGTATTTCAGGACATGTGTGTAAAAATACAGCTGTTGTCAGAAAACTCTGAGATATTTTACTCACTGAATCTCTGCTAACATCTGCCATCCATTAACCGCTGTGTATGTGAGTGTTTGAGGGTGTGTGTGTGTGTGCAGTAATTGGTTTTGATTTGTTATCAGTTTATTTTCCTCATTCTGGAGATCATATGAATTGGTTCATTGTTCATACAGAAAGGCCACTGTGCTGTGTAGTAATAAGATCGTTCTCTCTGTATGTCTTTCTTTCTCTTTTAGACTCGCTGTCCTCTGGTGATGATGAAGACTATGATGAAGATGAGGACGATGCAGGTAATGGAAATGGTGTGTTTCACCCTCTTATTTCTCATTTCTCTTTTTTTTTGATTGAGATTTCATGAGGTCTCTCTGTTGTGTAATAAATGCATGAGATTGCTGTCTTTTCTAGCTGGGGTTCGGTTGCATCTCATTTCATCAGCTGCTTTTTCCCCCCACTTGATACTAAAACACAAATTCTCACAAGAAATCAAAAGAGAGGAAGGGAAAAGAAGAGAAACAGCTCTAACAGCGTCAACTGAAATGTAACTAAAAATTGTAGAAAATGCCACAATATCTTTGACTATGTGTATAACAAGTAAAGAAAGAAACAAGAGGAAGATTTAATTTCTCAATGTTTTAGTGTTGGTAAGTTCTCATTTCAGTGACCTGATTTATTTTTTTAAATATATTTTAGACACATTTTGATAAATGTCATTTTGATAAATGTGCAGGCAAATATGTGTCAGTATAGCGAGATAATCAGAATCACTGGTTCTGTCCATATTTAAATTTTTTTTAAATAAAATAGAGAGAAATGAGAACATGTTTATATACAGTTTGTGAATAGAGTAAAAAAATATATATATATATTAATATGGATAGCACAGCCCAGATCTTTGAATTAGATGAGAAACGTTAAATAATGAAATAATGGGGGAAAAAAATAAAAATAAAAGAAATAATAAAATAATGAAAATCTGAAAAAACTGAGAACAGCTTGAAACATTAAGATCTCTTCAGTTACTGTTAACTAAAACTATTAAAAATAATAACTGAAATCAAGCTAAAATGAAATAAAATATCAATATTAGATGAAAAACTAAAACAAAAATTAGAAATTTTGCCATGGAAACTTAAGTTTTAAAACTAAAACTGAAATAAAAATAAAATTTAAATAGATTTTAAAAATAGATTTTTAACTACATTTTAAATTAAAATTAAAGCGAAAAATGATTTTAAAAAATCTAATTGAAAATATAAGTAAATATTATTATAGTACATAAATAATACTAAAATAATACTGAATCTCTTTTGAAACTCTACATGAGACACATAAAAGATTAGTGGCATCTTATTCTGAGGGAGAACAATCTGAGATTCAGGAGACTTTTTCCATTTTATCTGTGTGTGAAATGTGATTTTTCACAAAGAAAGAAAGAGAGAGGGAAGGAAGGAAAGGGAAAGCTGCTGTGGTGGGATCAGGGTTGGGGGAGGGTCTCAGGGTTGAGGGGAGGGCATGAAACGAGGGATTAAGCAAAAACCCAAACCCCTTTAGAGTTTAATGACCAGTAATCCAGCTCTAATTAAGAAAGAGCGAATGAGGGAGAGAGAGAGAGAGAGAGAGAGAGAGATCAGCACACTGGAGCTGAGAGCTGTGAGGTCTGGGCTCTCTGGAATATTTGAGAAGAGCTGAGGTCGTGTGACATCTGATTACATCATTCTGTAATATCTTAATGATGCAGTGCTGGTTACTGCTCTCAGTTTGGCTGACTGAAGCAAGCAGTGCGTAATATCAGCTGTGTAGAGTTGCGCTATACTTTGATGGCTTTTTTGGCTGTAGAATAGAAGTAAATGGAAAAAAAAGTTGGGTCACTGTAGAGTCGCGGTTCCCACTTCAAAGCTCAAATTGTCTGTGCTGAACTCTAAAATAGCAAACCACACAAACACACATATAGGAGCCAGGTCCACTGTTGGATACAGACCCATGTTGTGGTCCTGACGGATCACTGACCATCTGAGAATGCAGTGAAAATTGGAAGAGTGTGTGTGTGTGTGTGTGTGTGTGTGTGTGTACAGCCTTTAGTGTGTCGGTTATGCCAAAGGAATGCCAGCCTGCCAATCACCCTTTACATTCACAATCTGATAGCATGATCAAATAACGCAAGAGAGAATTATATTCAGTCTAGTTAATGGGGTTTATTGTGTGTGCATGTGTGTGCGCGCATTCACAGATGTGTGCTTGTGAGCTTGCATGTATGTCTGGAGCAAAATGTGGCGTCTGTGGGTTTAATCGCCAAGTTTGCGGGTTGATCTGATCTGGAGTTAACTGTTTGAGGAGGGATGAAAGTATGTTTACTCAGTCTCTTAAAGACACATACACACACACAAAGTTCAAGACTTGTCTGAAAATAAAAATAATGACTATTAATTTAGCTAAAGGATGTTACTGTAAGTGTTCATGCTCTGATATTTGGCATTAGTTTCTAGGAAGCATAAGCACAAACCTGACCACATGACAGTCAACATTATAAACTGAATTTATGGGAAGATTAAATGAAGGAAAATGGCTCTGTTATTATAATAGGTTATTATTAGGAATCCACATTGTGTGTTCATGGCTCTGTGAAGGAGTTAGCACTGGGAATTTTTGAGAGTTCTGTCTACAAGAGCATAAACGCGCCTCACATTCACATAAGAGTGTATGTAAGCGTGTTTGCTTTTCCAAACAAATTTTAATTCAGTCTGGGAATTAGGCAGCCAGTCTGACGCTGCCACAGAGCGAGCAAGAAAAATCTTTCCATAAACATTCACCCACACGAAGACTCCCGGAGAGGGAACACCCTACCCCCTAAAAAATAATGCTGCATGTCAACATACACTTATATTTGGTCCATTTGTGCCCATGGATTCATGTATTGAACACTGACATATTTTTGTAAACTTTCAAAATGTCATGTTTAGTTGCTATTTTCAGCAGCATCTGATTTCATTCTCATTTCTAACAGAAGCTCCATACTGGACCCGTTCTGACCGGATGGAGAAGAAACTATTGGCTGTTCCCGCCGCTAATACAGTGAAGTTCCGCTGTCCTGCCGCCGGCAACCCCACTCCCACCATCCACTGGCTGAAAAATGGGAAGGAATTCAAGGGAGAGCAGAGAATGGGCGGGATTAAAGTAAGACAATATGAATATCGATTAAGAACATGTGCATGTGCATGTGCAAAAATGTGATTGTGTGTTTAGGATTACAGATAATAAGAATTGGCAATTAGTAATAATTTACACAGATCCACAACATCTGCTCCTTCAAGAGCTCTCTCTCTCTCGCTCTGGATTTTATTTGCTTGTCGTCTCTAGAGGATATGTCCAACTGTTGCTGCTCCTCTGAAAGAACAGAAGAACACAAAGTTCTGTGTGGTCTTGTTATTTGTGTGTTGATGCGTTTGTGTGCAGGTGTTGATTGTGACATGTTTTTGAGGCCATCCACAGATTCTTTAGATTATTTTTATTTATTATTACCATTTTTTAAATCTCTCAGGGCTGTTGCTCCTTAATGCTCAATGATTTAACCCCCACAATTTAAAGGATAGTTCACCCAAAAATTAAATTGTTGTCATCATTTACCATCCTTCCAAACCTGTATGACTTTTTTTCTTCTGAGAAACAAAACAGAAGATATTTTGAAAAATGTCTCAGTTTTTTTGTGTGTGTGTGCATACAATGGAAGTCAATGGTCACCAAAGCTTTTTGGTTCTATTATGTTTCAGAGAAGAAAGTAAGATTTGGAGCTAAATGAGCGTGAGTTCATGATTTGGATTTTTCGGTCAATTATCCCTTTAAATACTACAGCATTATTAAAAACAATTTTCCTGAAGAGGCACACATTTTCCCCACAGGAAAGAAAAATCATGAATTACATCTCTTTAATATCTCAATGGTCTCTTCTATATAGCCTTGAGATGAAATTGACAACAAATTGAGACTTTCACTAAAGACGTTTACAGAATTTTCTCCTTTTAGAAATCCCCTCTTCAGATGAGATCTCAAACTGTGCTCAGATTTGCAAAGATATGAAAGTCTAAAATCAAAAGATCTCTATATGATCAGTATTTCTCATGTAGTTCTTCCAAGACCAAATGACCTAAGCTTTGCTATCCACATTAATTTTATAGCTCTGTACTCCCACTGTATGTCAACAATTTGTTTCTAAATTAAACCGAATTTTAGGAGAAACACCTAAAACAAAAGCAACACTTAAAACACAACTGGGATCTTCTGAGTGACTTCTTTTGGCACACAAACATTCGCACATTCAGATTCTTTAACACGGTCTTACATTGCATTGTCCTATATGCATAGAAAATAACCAGTGTCCCCTAAGAGAGACATTTAGAAACAAAACATTGAACTCTCAACCTTTCCATGGCCATAGTGTGACCAGCCCACCCTTACAAACACACACACGTATACACACACCAGGAGTCCGCACTGACCCAGGGTCATCCTTTATACCAGACCTGCCCTCCGCATCAGCACAGTCACTGTTGGCCTAGAGATCTCTGACAGCATCATAATAGCTTTATTTAATACATACATACACAGGAGCTTGACAGCTCACCCTAAATGTCTTCTGTCTCTATTAAGACCAAGGCTAAAAGTCACGGCGTGCATAAGGATGTGTGACCCCATTGTGTGTGTGGATATGACAGGCCTGATGGCTTGATAACGCACTCAACAATGTGTTAATATGCAGAGCACCATGCGAAATTAAACATGAGGAGTTCCCTGAGAGATCAGCGTATTCCATCTTAAAGCTCCTTTTTGCATTGCAAGGGGAACAATAATGCTGTGATTATGTTTCTATTGGCACTGGAGCTGGTTGTAAGTTCGACTAACTCTCTTGCTGACGGTCAGGGTGCATTAATTGCTAACTAAATGCGGTAAGATTGCCGAATAAGTTTTAAATGCAAGAAAATGAGTCACATGCCGTACTCTCATTGTTTGAAACGATCCATGGATTTGTTTAGACAGTTGACTTTCCCACAGCTTTCTCTTCAAACGGCCACACACACATTAACACAAACACACACATACAAACAGACACAACTCCTTAGACACTTTCTGTGCCTGACTGGCAGGGTTCTAAGGTCAAAGGTCAACTCTCTATTGAGTCATCAGAAGGGGGAGGTTCCGAGAGGGTGTTGTCGTGGCGATTTAGAAACCTTGATTGGCAGGGGGAGGCGTGGCTTTTGTCATGCTCACATTTGGCAGCCGGAGTCGCATTGTTAGAATGCTAATCTGTGGCACTGTGGGTTAGTGTTTTGTGCGTTTGAGTGTGTGTATGCGAGCAGCTCGCAACATATTTAACAGCTCAATTGACGAGCAAGCTAAGGAAAGACTGTTACGTCCTCCGAGAGATGACTCAATTTCAGTCGCAGTGCTCTGTGAGACCACCGGCGCTAAATTCTACAAGCTTGGAGCATCAGTGAATCTCTAATCCACCGACAAATGTGTCTTTTGTCTGAAGGCCACAACAGTGTATGTCTGTGGTATATTAACTGTTTAGGTGCAATTTGTTATTCATTTATGTTTAAAGAATATGTTTAAAGGTCAAGTGTTTAATGTTCATGTTTCTCATGTAGCCTGATTTTTTGCTGTTTAACATAAGGCTAGTCCACTTTGCAGCGTCTTTCCAATAAAGGTTCCGGTCACAACAGAGAAATCTGTTGGCAAAAAAGGTCCATTGTCCATTGTCAATAGTCAAAAGTAGCAATGTATGAAGCACAGTCTACACAGAAGTTACTTTTAAACTAAGCAGCTTTCTGTTGGTCAACACTGCAAATTTGCGTAACCATCTTGGATCCAATGTGAAATCTTCTTAGGGAAATCTTTCACCCTCATGCAAAATTCCCAGTCAAGTGGATTCCTATTGAAATGACTGGATTTCTATCTGACTGACATAACAAAAAATGACCAGTTGTTGTTTAGGTTGAGTTTATATGACATAGTTGATACCACAATAATAGACTGGTGTGGAAAAAGTAATAAATACAGATTATTTCACAAATAAAACTCACATACATATATATATAAAACAAAAAAACACAATTCTACTCTGTAAGTCTAGAAAACTTACTTAAATGGCACAAACAAAACTCACAAATAACATTTTTTTGTGAAACCTGTTTGATAAAACTTTTTTGGACATTCAGTTTTCTGCCACTAGTGACCACTAAGTACACTTCAACTTCAACTTTAAGTGGTAATAGTTCTCTTTATCAATATGAACTGACTGATATAGCCATGTAGTTCATTCGACTTTCATATTAGGGTGTGTATGATTATGGACTGTCTGTACAATATCGATTACTTATTTTAATGGTGAAACAGAGTGTTATCAGTGAGACTTCTGTACTACTTTTCATTGAGAGAGAGAAAAAGAAACAGTTTTGTCGTATTAATGACTTGCCCTGGGGTCAGTTGTTTTTGCTTCCTGTCTCTGTGGGTCAAATTAAACAGCACCGCTCTCGGAACTAGTTCACACCATTTTGACACAACCATAAATCCTGAACATACACGTACAAACACACACATACTCAAGAGAGACCTGAGCTTCTTAGCACCTCCTGAGTCCATAAACTCCCAATATTCTCTGCACTTCACAATTCAGTTGAACAGAATGAATATCCACCGCACTGGTCTTAACTCCTAACCCCAGTCTGACATCAGAGTTAAAGAGGCTTAATATGTTAACAGTGTAATGAATTTGAGAGGCGCTTTTCAACTGATTATCAGACCTCTGCTTGGGTCTTTCTTGTGCAGTTTTTTTCTCTGAATCTGCGGGGTCCAGCATGGCATCGCAACACTTTTCAGCTCTTATCTTTTGATGAAGAATGGAATAAATGTACTAACTCTCTCCTCCCATTCACTCTGGATAAAGTGCTTTGGTTGATTGAGGAACAGCTGAGAATTCTTCACAGCATTTCTTTTCAGCAGACACATTGAGATAAATGTTGTATACACACATACACACCCACACCCACACACACACACACACACACACACACACACACACAAAATATCAGTGTCAAGTAAGTGTTAAATTAACTCTCGCTCCCTCATAGTCTTACTGCACATGGGTAGTTGACATTAAATGCTTTTGGGAAGATAAAGCGAATCTAGGATTTCACTGAAAGGGGGGATGAGCACAAGTTGATGCAGCTCAGAGGAAAATTTATTTCCTTTAGTCTAAAGTTGCCCAACAGTCAATATATATATATTTATATTCATATCATATCATATCATATAAAAACCCTTCAAAATAATGTTTAGCAATAGTTGCTAAATAGTTTTAAATACTTTTTTAAACTATTCTGAACGTCATTTGGCTATTTTTTATATTATATTATTTATATATATATATATATATATATATATATATATATATATATATATATATTTTATATTTTTTTT